GATTTACTGGAGTCTCCCCAGAAATTCAAAATGGTCTTATCAGCTGTCTTGATTCAATTATTGAAGATGAAATCAGAAAGGAAATAAATGATTGCACATTTATGAGTATTCAGGTTGATGAAGCATCTGATGTCTCCACCAAAGAGCAGCTAAGTGTTATTGCTCGGTTTGACAAAGCAAGTGAAATTATGGAGAGGCAATTAGGATTTGTGGATGTAAGTATGAACAGAAATGCCACAGCAATATCACAAGTTGTCAAAGATAAACTTGGTGAGTATTCTAATATAAAAAAACTGGTTTTACAAACATATGATGGTGCTTCTGTCATGTCTGGCCATATCAATGGTGTTCAAGCATTGGTTCGACAAGAGTATTCTTTTGCTCATTTTGTTCATTGTGCAGCTCATAGATTGAACCTGGTCCTATGCCAGTCAGCCTCATCAATTTCTCCTGTTAAAATCTTTTTATTAATATAGCTACATTCAGCACATTTACAAGCAATGCCCCAAAAGAAAAGCTTTTCTCACATCTAACAACCTTGAGTTTCCTGCCCTGGTGAAACAAGATGGTATTATCGCTCTAGATTAATCAATGTATTGCACAAAACTATGAAAAACTTTTAGATATTTTTGAGGGGTACTTGAACAACCAGCTGGGTGGGATGATGAGTCATTAAGTAAAATAAGTGGCTTACTGCATTATCTTGATAGCTTTCTCTTGTTTTCTAGTGTGTGTTTTTACAGGATTTTAGAACAGTCCACAATTTTGTATTCCATTCTTCAAAATAGGAAACCCATTTTAACTATGGCATAAGCAAGATTGACAATTTCAAGCAGTTTATTGTGTCACTTCGCACAGATCAAGCTTTCACCGAGTTTTACCAAACTGCACTAGAAAAGTAGGCCCACCAGCAACCAGAGCAGATAGTAGATACAATTACAAACAGCTTTATTTTGAGATTATTGATTCCATTAAAGGCATGTTAAGTGAACGATTTCAAGATATTAATCAGTTCGAGGTTTTAGACCTTGTAAATCCTAAACTATTTACTACATGGAAGGGCATAGTTCCACAGGAGAAGATCAATCCTCTCAAAGATAAGTATAGTCCTCTTTTGACATCCAAACTTTGAGAGTCAACTTTCCTTCATTTACAACGACAAGGACTTTCACAAAGAGTGCAGTAATGAGGTTCTTAAATACATCTTCAAATTTAATCTCCAGTCGAGTTTAGGTCAAGTGGTAAATTTGTTAAAATTGAATGGTGTGTTGGCAGTGGCAAGTGCTTCAGTAGAAAGGTCGTTTTCTTGCTTAAAAGGGTAAAAGCTATTTAAGAAATAGAATGGGTCAAGGTCGGCTTAGCTCTTTGTGTAGAATATCTATTCACAAAGATATCATTGAAAAGAAAGAGGAATCAGAGGTGTTGCATAACGAGGTGGTTGAAAAATTTGTAGAAAACCCAGGAGGCTGGCCTTTCTTTATAAATGATGAGTATAGTATGTGTTTTGATATTTGTTCGTATAATACATGGTACTTCATTGAGAAAATTAAGCATAACTTTAAAGAATAAAGCCATCCCTGTCTACTTGCCCCAATCTAAACAAGTTTAAACTAACAAGTAGAATGCTAAGAAAAATCTCTCTCTATGCACTTTAGAAGTGTCGTATACTATATTATTTTTGTGCTAATACAAATTTCTTCTGTTTATGCAGGGCAGTGATGAGTAAATTATGTTTTAGGGGACAATTGTCTCCTGCGTAACGTTTCTCTGAGCCACCTTTAGTACCTTTTTAACTAGTTGCAGTTTCAACGATTGCCACATTAAGAATGCAGCTAACAAAAATGGGTTTTTATAAATTATTGTACAACGAATAATTCGCCCTCGAAATCGCAGGAAATGCTGTTTCCAAGGCTCTGGATTTCAAAATTTTCCGGGAGCATGCCCCGGACCCCTTAAGAGCCTCCGGCGCGAGATGGATTGGCGGAAGTGACTATTTTTCCTAGCTACGCCACTGTACATAACTAATACAAAAAAAACTGTGTACAAATAAATACAACAGAGTGCAAAACAAAAAACTTTCATCGTACAGACAAACAAAGTTTTAACATTCCATCTATATCTGTGAAAACTTGAGCTGGTGGAGGATTGTAGATGAGACTGTTTTGCATTGGAGAAAGGACTAAGTGCTTTTTTTGTTTGATCAATGCTTGAGCAATTATGTAGTAAGTTAAAGTCATGAAGATTATTGGGAAAATGAAGAAACATGAATAAAACGCAAGCAATTTGTAAATGTAATAACGATCTTGTGGATTCACAATGCACTTTTGAAATGTTATTCCAACTGTCGCAACCAAACGAATGATGTACGCTGAGCCACAAACGATTTTTATCTTTTGTCGACTGAAGGAAGGTGTCAATGGATGAACTACGATAACGTAGAACTGAAATGATCAACATCATAGATACTCCACTTATTTCAAAAAAATATTTATGACGTCTATTGAGCAGTCCAACCAAAATGAGTTAATTTTTAAATTGACATGCAAGATTTCAGAAAAAGATAAGTTTATTAATACAAATGCGTTACATAACACGAGATGTAAGACGAGAAAAGAGTAGGTCTTCTTTAACAGAATCTTTTCTTTTAATATTGTAGCGATCACAAGAGTATTTCAAAAACTACCAAATATGTATTGTGTAATACTCAACACAAAGAAAATTCCCATAACAATATATGATGGATATGATTGACTTACTATACGTTTTGGAAAGGTCTGTATATTTCTGTATTTCACTTTGGAAATACCCAAAAGAAATTGGTTATTTCGTTGCTCAGTAAGTGAAATACTCAACAATGTTTTGTATAACTTGCTCTGCCTTCTTTGTTGGCTATACTGACCAATCAGAATTCATAAAAGTTTATAATGTGTAATTACATAAGCAAACATCAACAAAACTTGAGCTTTTTATAATATTTAATTTTAAAATATTATTACAGTTAAATAGAAGTAAACGCACCTAACGTCTCATCACAGTTGCAAATGTGAATAGGCACGTTCCCTAAGACAAAGCGCATTCAAAAGTATCCAAATTTATCATATTTTATTCGACGAAAAGCCATATTGAACAGTAAATTTTGATTTTTTTACGCAAAGTCATTACATTAAATTCCATAAAATATCAATAACCTCAATGATCAAATGCTTGTCAATATTTAAAGTCATGAAAACAAGCATAAACTGACGGAAGCGAAAAATGACGTTTTTACGAGAATTTCTAGCTTTTTCATTTTTTCTTTATTTCACTTTCCAAATGCCATGAAAAACGGTTCATTAGTTTTTAAGTTGTTTAAGTAAGTGTTTTAAATTATAACAGTAGAAGTTTACGCATCTGCTCTTTCTCATTAGTTCTAACTTATTGTTTTAAACACTGCAGATACACTCGCTCATGTTTTACTATCCTAAGCACCGCCAACACTTAATTTTCTCTAAAACTTAATGAAGCCTTACACATACGCAAAAAAAACCGATCTTAACAAACAAATTAAACATTTTAACACCATTGTCTACTTATAAGTACTCTATCACACTCATAATATATTAATCCTAACACGGTTTTTTTAATATGCACATGAAAAACATGTGACTTGGACGAGATTTGAACTCGCACCTTTGGGATACTAGTCCGCCGCTATACCTGTTGAGCTACCCAGCCCACATGGAAAGGAGACGAATCAAATCTATTTTAAAATGCGTACGGACGAGAGATTTTCGCTACTATAACAGTTTACTGGATGGCACCGTGTTTCGACTTTATTCCAAAGCCATCTTCAGAGTATATACATAATATAATAATCCTATATATTAAAGGATTAATATATTATGTATATACTTTGATGATGGCTTTGGAATAAAGTCGAAACACGATGCCATCCAGTAAACTGTTATAGTGGAGAGAATCTCTCGTCCATACGCGGTTTAAAAGAGATTTGACTCTTCTCCAATCCCTGTTGGCTTGGTAGCTCAACAGGTAGAGCGGCGGACTAGTATCCCGAAGGTGCGAGTTTAAATATCGTCCAAGTCACAAGCTTTTCATGTGCATCATAAAAAAACCGTATTAGGATTAATATATCAAGTACATACTCTGATGATGGCTTGGGAATAAAGTCGAAACACGATGCCATCCAGTAAACTGTTATAGTGGCGAGAATCTCTCGTCCATACGCACTTTAAAAGACATTTGACTCGTCTCCACTCCCTGTGGGCTTGGTAGCTCAACAGGTAGAGCGGCGGACTAGTATCCCAAAGGTTCGAGTTTAAATCTCGTCCAAGTCACATGTTTTTCATGTGCATATTAAAAACCGTGTTAGGATTAATATATTATGTATATACTCTGATGATGGCTTTGGAATAAAGTCTATCACACTCATATCTACCTTTTTTCTATCTTTACGTCAACCTTTATGTTTATCTTTTTTTCGACATTATTGTTAACCTCTTTTATATTTTATCCGAGATATTTCAAATAGTGGTCATTTTATAGGAGACAAGCATTGTTTTTAAAAGTGGAAAAGGACACTAATTTATTTTAATTTGCTTTTTTCTGAATGCGAAGACATTTTAGATTCTATTTATTAATATTTTACTTATATCTTTCTATTTATATATTTCTCTCTTAAATCTTTAAAAGAACATGCACCAACACTTTTTCAACATTCCATGGACGAAAAAAATTGAAAAATAGCATCATAATGAAGAAAGCTTTTATTATTTACTAGAAAAATAATGACGAGTGTCATTACTTATTTGGGTTCTAGTGTTCACGTATATATTGCTTAAGATATTTTGCAGATAACTTTAAGTTATTTTGGTTACTTTCCGTGTTGTGTTATCCAAAGCAATTAATTTTTTTAAGAACGCTTCGGAGGTCTTCCTTCTTCTTAATTCTATTATTATTAAATTTGTTAAAGGTATAATTCTTGTTTGAAGACATTAAAATTTTTAAACATCTCCACTACTAGATTAGAACAGGAAACACGCAAATGATTAAAAATGTTTTGTTATCTGCATTTGCTTAAATCTTCTTGTACAGCACTTCCAAAAGTACAGCACTTGTCTGTCAAATATTCCATAGATTAATGGATTGACAGCGTGCGATCCAAGAATACCAAGACATTCACCAACATATACATGTATCCCGTTAGTTTCTGCATTATAATACCACTGCAACCAAGCTGTTATATAATAAATACGACCAACTGAAAAACAAATAACCGTTAAAGCACAAACAAAAAATGTTTTCAAACTTCGAATGTATCTTCTAAGACTTGAGCTGGTGGAGGATTGTACTTGAGAATGTGAAGAATTGGAGAGTGTTCGTAGTGCTTTTCTTTGTTTCATCAATGCTCGAGCGATTATGGAGTAAGTCACAGTCATGAAGATTATTGGGAAAATGTAGACACATGACAAAAGCGCAAACAAATCGTAAATGTAATAACGACGTTCAGGATCCCCAACGCACTTGAGAATTATTGTTCCAACTTTCGCAACCAAACCAATGATGTACACTAAGCCACAAGCAATTTTTATCTTTCTTCGACTGAAGGAAAGTTTTAATGGATGAACTATCGCACGATATCGTAGAACTGAAATTATCAACATCATAGATACTCCACTTATTAGAAAGAAACGATTTAGGCCTACCCTCAAACAGTCCAACCGAAATGAGTTAATTTTTAAATAGGTACGCAAGATATTAAAAAAAGATGCATGTATTAATGCAAATGCGTCACATATCGCAAGATGCAAGATGAGAAAGTAATAGTTCTTTTTTAACAGAATCTTTTGTTTTAATATTGTAACGATCACAAGAGTATTTCCAAAAATACCAAATATGTATATTGCAATACTCAACACAAAGAAAATTCCCATAATAAAAATATGATGGATGTGATTGACTTACTACATGTTTTAGAATGGTCTGTATATTTCCGTATTTCACTTTGCAAATACCCAAAAGAATTTAGTTTTTTCGTTGCTCAGTAAGTGAAATACTCAACAAATGTGTTATATAACTTGTTCTGCCTTCTATAAAAGTTATACCGACCAATTAGAATTCATGAAAGTTTATAATGTGTAATTACATTACCAAACATCAGCAAAACTTAATGCTTCTTATAAGATTTAATTTTAAAATATTATTACAGTTAAACAAAAGCAAACGCACGTAACGTCCCATCACAGCTACAAATGTGAATAGGCACGTTCCTTAAGACAAAGCGCATTCAAAAGTATCCAAATTTATCATATTTTATTTGATGAAAAGCCATATTAAGCAGTAAATTTTAAATATTTTACGCAAAATCATTACATTAAATTCCATAAAATATCAATAACCTTAATGATCAAATGCTTGTCAATATTTAAAGTCATGAAAACAAGCATAAACTGACGGAAGCGAAAAATGACGTTTTTACGAGAGTTTCTAGTTTTTTCATTTTTTCTATATTACACTTTCCAATGCCATTAAAAACCTGTTTATTAGTTCCTAAGTTGTTCAAGTAAATTGTTTTAAAATATAGCAGTAGAAGTTTACGCATCTGCTCTTTCTCATTCGTTCTAACTTATTGTTTTAAACACTCCAAATACACTCGCTCATGTTTCACTATCCTAGACACCGCCAACACTCAATCTTCTCAAAAACTTAATGAAGCCTTACACATACGCAAGCAAAAACCGATCTTAACAAACATATTAAACATTTTAACTTCATTTGTTACCGAAATGAGTCAATTTTTAAATTGGTACGCAAGATATTAAAAAAAGATAAGTTTATCAATACAAATGCGTCACATTTCGCGAGATGCAAGACAAGAAAATAGTAGTTCTTCTTTAAAAGAATCTTTGGTTTTAATATTGTAATGATCACAAGAGTATTTCCAAAAATACCAACTGCACATACTGCGACAATGACAATTATGTCAGCTGCCATCATGATATTAGTGAGCTACCTTTTTAGATTGCTCTAGTTTTAGATATCTCACTGTGGAAATGCCATGAAAAATTGTCTTTTCAGTTTTCAGTGTGTTGTCTTGTTCTGTATTCGTTATTAGCTACATTTGCAATATATTTATACGTTCATGGAACTGGAAATGGGTACAGTGTTAAAACGGACCAGTCAGCAGCCTTTAAAGTTCATACTATTTAATTACCTTTAATCAAAAAATATCGATCAAACATTTTATTGCTTTTAGTTAATTTATTTTAAAGTAATTCTTGCAGTAAATAAATTTAAAAGCTATTTTAACGTTGCATCACCTGCAGAATAAAAACTTTCTCGGAGACGAAGAGATGCACAACCTACTCATGCATTTTATTGAACACATACTCAGATCTTTTCACTCCACCTCCTTCAACTATACAGTAAAGTAGAGAGTCAGATCCAACAAGTCCCGGGCTTGTGACCGGTATAGCCGTGTTTAAAGATGAAAGGAAATTTACTTTATTTAGTTGTTGATCTTCTTTCCCAGCGACAAGTGCTGTAAAGCAAGATTATAGCTTCTTGCACGCACAAAAGAGATAACGTAGTGTGATATGAAATTCAATCGCATGAAATAGAATGCAAACTAGTGTGCGTCATATTAGAAATAAAGTAATAAAGCCTAGTTCACATATAGTTGTAATTGTTGTAATTTCATCGGAGATGAAGTGAACAGCAATTACAACAGTAAGCGTTCACACATAGTTGTAATTGTTATAAAATAGCACGTTATAAAATAGCGATTTTGGTTAGATTTGCGCATGCGTCATGACATCCTAACTGGAAAGGAGAAATATGGCGCGTGTTAATCAAAGAGTCTCACGAATGTATCAACGAAGGGTGTGGATGAAATGCGGACTCGGACTGGTGGACTGCCTAATTGATAGTGTGGATGGAGCTTTAAACTGACTGAAGAATGTGGACTGGTGGACGCTTACTGAGGCTATTACATATTACATAGTGTTACATCACAGCTGTAATAAACGCATTTGCAAAGATAAAACGGGTAGAAAACTATTTACACTTTCTATTTTATCGGTAGCCATTTTATGATTTAAATAAAATAGTTATGTCAGTTTGTAGCTCTTCGTACCACATACCTTGGAATTATGTGTGAAACATTTTGCCCATACTTTTAAAGAAGTAATATTCTATTTTCATATAATATACACATAAAAATGTTATCAATCAATAAAAATGCAATTGAAGAACAAAAATTTGATCTATAAATTGAAACATCCCTCAATGTTAAAGGAAATTTCTTCGCTAATTATTGCTATAGATGTTTTCTAATTGAAAGTTTGTCAATTCTATATGTCTATTCTGTTTATTTTTGTCTCTTGAGTGTTTATAAGATCATGCCATGCAGTTAACTCTTGATTGTTCCACGGATGAAAAAGACAAAGAAGACAACTTTTTATCTTTTCTTCAAAAAATCTGGGTTAATTGGGATACTTTTTGTAAAACGGGTAAAAATTCGCAGCTAACTAAAATTACGACCATTTACTTAGCTTTAGTTAGACTTCTATCATTCGAAGTAAAAGCTTTTTAGTGAACGCGTTAAACGTTTTCTTGTGGTTTTGATATTAACTTCACGAAAGACCTCTTGTTTAAAAGCATTATGCAACTCAAACAGATAATTACACGAACATGAAACATACAAATGATCGAGTATCAAACGTTTTCTTCTCTCCGTTTGCTCAAATTTGTGTTTTTGTGCAGTCCTTCCAAAAATACAGCATTTTTCTGTCGAATATTCCATATATCAGGGGATTGACAGCGTGCGAGCTAAAAATTCTTAGAGAATGAGCAACATATAGATACTTTAAATTTTTTTCTGCTGCAAAATACCAATGCACAATAGTTCCACATGATAAATATGACCAGTTGAAAAACAGAGAACCGTTATTGCACAAACGAAAAATGTGTTCAATCTCCGAGTATATCTTGAAGACTCAAGTTGGGCGAGGATTGAAGATGAGGTTTTGTTGCATTGGAAAATGTTCTTAGTGCTTTTCTTTGTTTGATCAATGCTCGAGCGACTATGGAATAAATCAAAGTCATGAATATTATTGGGAAAATGTGGAAACAGGCATAAAAAACAAATCATTCGTAAATGTAATAACGACCTTGAGGATCTACAATGCACTCTTGAATTTTCATTCCACTGTTGTGACCAAACCAATGACGTACACTAAGCCACAAGCGATTTTTATCTTTCTTCGAGTGGAGGAAAGTTTTAATGGATGAACTTTCACACGATAACGTGGAATTGAAATGATCAACATCATACAAACTCCACCTATTTAAAACAAAGTATCTATGGAATCCATATATGAGCAACTGAACAAAAATGAGGCACTTTTGAACTGAATGAAAAATATACTCAGCAAAGCAAACACGTCACAAGACAAGAATGGAGTAGGTTTTCTTTAACAAAACATTTTGTTTCAATATTGAAGCGATCACAAGAGTATTTCCAACAATACCAAGTACACATATTGTGACAATGGAAATTATACGAGGTTCCATAAAGATATTACTGATATGTCTGACTTACTGAGTGCCTTATTTTCCTATATTTCATTTTGCATATGCCTTAAGAAAATACACTTAAAGAATGATGCTTATATTACATATTGTGATATTTGAAATTAGCATCAATTATATGTTTTGGGTATGAAATACAGCTGCTGGTCTTTTCCTTACAACAAATTGGCAGTTATAGTAATGAAAATTGAAGTACTGTAGCATTTAAGATGACAATATTATGACAAATTTATATTTTATAATTAATCCAAATAGGCTTGACGAACAAAAAGCTGCTCCTGAGATTTCACTATTTTGATGAAAATTTTGTTTAATGTCTAAACTATGTGTCAGTGAATTAAGATGTGACTAAACATCTTCTTTGTTAATATAAGGGGGTGAGGTAGGGTAGTATTTATGGACACCGGATAAACACTTAATGTTTAGATAAAATTTACCTTTCGCTATTGTGTTTGCAGCTTAGATATTAAATTTTCTTGTTTCGCGTAACAATCAATCATAAAAGAGTTCATGAAAATGAAAGTCATCAAACCAACGCCAATTGTTCACGTTATGTTTATTGCAGTTTGATAATTGCCAACGAGACATCTTTTACAGACCAACATCTTCGCTTTCTACCAATGTAAAAGTGAATTTTTTCAGCAAATTTATCCAATAAGCCAATCTTTCAGATGTCTTAATATCGTCTTTTCTCTCTTTACAAGTGAATAAAAAGACGTTCTTACAGCGTGACGACGTCTCTAACGCAAAAACAGCCAACATTTTTTAGAATACTTAAATATAGTCACGAATAAATGACCAATATGTGCGTCAAGTATGTGAACTGCAAAATTCTTATCCCATAGAAGTGAAGAGGGCTAGCGAAGTCTAAAGCGATAAGAAAATGGTTTTCCCAGCAGTCTATAGAGCATCTGAATATTCATATTGTCTTGTGAAGTGATATCCCCACCTCAAAATATTGAGAAGGTTCTTCCATCCCTATGGCTTAAACCTTATGACGTATCTTCCGTATCTCATGTTTACTCTCTTTTGTTCTCTTGTAACCATGCATCTTCTTTGGCAATCTTTTAATTTTCGAAATATATTATTCATCTACAAAGTCTCCTAATCCACTTTTCATCTAAACAACACACTCAGTACCTTTCTACCTGTCTCCCTCATAATATTTGCTTCATGTAACACATTATGGAATTTCCTATCAAAATTTTTTCCAAATACTTCATTTTCACCGTGCAGCAATATTTTATTTTTCAAACAATATGCATTTCATAGTTTTATTCGCAGATAAACCAAACATTAGAACTGCATTTGAGCAACTGAAATGTGAACTAATTAGGAATGAATACATTTGTTAAAAAAAAGATGGCATTGTAGCTTGCTAACGCAGTCAATTAAAAAACAACTATCAGCTAATTGCAGTTGTTTGTAATTTCTACATGAACTAGTCAAAGTCATAAATAAAGACAATCCAAATACATTTCTATTTTTTTGTTTATAGTTCTCGTATGCTATTTCAAAGCACTCTACTTAATTGTCAAATATTCCACGTGAATGACAGGTTGAAATACAATATAGCTAAAGACAATTTTCATTATCTTGGAAAAATTGTCTTATTCGGGATCTATGTAAAGATTACTTGAGAACTGTAATGTGCAGCTAACTTTGACTTTATTCTAGTTAGTTTTAGGTTTTAACGTGTATCATTCGACGAAAATATTTTTTCAGTAAGCACGTTAAAGGTCTTCTTGGTTCTGATACTGAACTCAATAAAGGCCTTGTTTTTGAAACATTAATTAAACGTAAATAGTTTAAACATTAAAACAGGAAACATGTAAGTAAATGTCAAACGTCCTGTTATCTGAATTAGCTAATAATTATCTTCTTGTGCACCACTTCCAAAAATACAAAACTTTTCTGTCAAATATTCCATAGATTAATGGATTGACAGCGTGTGATCCCAAAATTCTTACACAATAAGCAACTGATAAGTTTACTCTGTTAGTTTCGGCAGAGTAAAACAAATGCAATCCATTAGCTGTCATAAAATAAATATGACCAACTGAAAAACAGAGAACCGTTATTGCACAAACGAAAAACTTTTTTAAACCCCGAGTATATCTTCGAGAACTTGAGTTGGAGGAGCATTGAAAATGAGACGGTGTTGCATTGGAGAATGCTCTTAGGGCTTTTCTTTGTTTGATCAATGCTCGAGCGATTATGGAGTAAGTTACAGTCATGAATATTATTGGGAAAATGTAGAAACAGGCAAAAAAAGGCAGCCATTCGTAAATGTAATAACGACGTTGAGGAAATTTAATGCACTCTAGATTAGTAAGTAAAACTGCTGTAACCAAACCAATGATGTACGCTAAGCCACAAATGATTTTTATCTTTCGTCGACTGAA